ATTTGACTTCACATTTGGCTGCCCTTTGAGCATTCTCTCCAAGTATTTTCATAGCCATGGGTGATATACCACCTACCCATTTTCCAGAAAATTCTCTCATGCTATTCATCCTCTCCATATACTTGATTCTAATTTCCTCTAACATAGTAATGATAGATTTGTGCTTAGCTACCAATATCCAACTATTGAATGTCTCACATATGTTGTTCTCCACTACATCACACTTACTATGTTCTTTGAAGTATGCCCTACACCATGTCTCCTTGTTGTATTTCAGTAAGTCTTGAACGATATTTCCCCCAGCTGGACCATTTCATCCAACTTCTTGCTAAAGTAAACTTCAAATGTAGCTCTTGCACACTGCCAGAATTTTTTCCTCCTTTCCTCACGAGGCCAAGTTTACTTCCAATTAGCCCAGATATGTCTAGCACGCCACCTCATCTCAGCATTTGGCAATAACTGAGTTATGGCTAGATGAATACCCTATAATCAACAACATTATATTGTTATAACTTAAACATAAATGAAAATAATTACACTTTAAAGACAAAGTGTTAGAAACCATACCTCCTACATATCAGACATGACTGTCAGCCCTTTTCCTTCAGATTCTGTCAAGTTCAGATCATGCTTAAGACATTTGATAAACCAAGACCATGTATCCTTTGATTCCTTTTCAACTATTGCCCAAGCCACATGGTGCATTTGATTATTTCCATCCTTGAAAATGTAGGAAAGCAGTTCACCTTTACATGTTCCCTTTAGGAATGCACCATCAAAGCCAATTATGTTTCTGCACCCTTTTAACCATCCAGTTTTTAATGCTTCAAGACAGACATAAATGCCCATAAACACCTCCTTGCCAGGTTCTGCATTTTTAGATGTCCTTATCACTATAGTAGTTCCAGGATTAGTAGACTTTAGCATTTCTGCATAATCATGAAGCCTAGCAAATTCTTTCTTGTAATCACCCATATTCTCCTTCATAACTATCATTTTTGCTCTTCTGCAAGAAGTTTTACTCACATACAGACCATATGCTTTCCTAATTAAGGCTTGAATTTGATGAAGCTTAATTTGAGGCTCACTAATTATTCTGTCTTTGAAGTTCTTTGCAATCCATGGTGGTTACACATCTTGTTCCTTGTCTTCTTAAAGCATTTGTGGACAGGGTAGTATGTAATCACCCTAAAATTTCTGGTGCTACCTTCTATGATGTCAAGGATATGCCACGGACAACCTTTCTTTGTGCAGTTTGCCCTAACCTTTTCCCTCTCATTAGGTTTCAACTTAAGGTTCACACCTTTTTGAATAGAATAGGTCTGCAATGCCCCCCTAAACTGTACAACATTCTCAAATATCATATACAGTTCAAATAATATTTTTTTGCAACTTGTGTCAAAGTAGACCTTCTTACTTGGATTCCTAGATGGTGCGTCCCTTACTTCATCAGTGCCAACAAGTTCTCTTTTATCATCACTACACTCACTACCTGGATCTGAGCTATCAAAATACTGGTCATCCCCTCCTAGTTTCCCTTCATATTTTCCCCTTTTGTTCTTATGCATATCTTCAAAACCAGAATCTATACCAACTGAACCAGATGGTATCTCATCTATATTTACTTGGGCATCCTTCTTTTTGTTGATTTTAGACTGTCTAATTTCAGCTAAGTCATCTTCCAAATCACTACACTCTTCAATGTTCTCATCTATCTCAAACAGTGAGTCAAACCCTTTAGAATCATCAAAGTCCTCGTCAAAATCAGATTATGATGTTTGAAAGTGATAGGATGAGAAGTTATTACCTTCACCTTCATCTGATTCTTCTATCTCTCTATTTATATCTATCCCTTTACCCTTATCTTTGTCATTTTCAGTCCTATTTATATCATTGTTGGGAGGTGACACATCAGCCCTAGCATTTAACCCAATGTCATGCCCATGTATTTGTATAGTGGGGTCTAGTTTAGTTTTATCCTCAACAAGAATAGGATCACTAATTTTATGGACAATACAAACATCAACAAAGTCACCACCTTTCAATATATTAAGAAACTTTAACACATCAACATCTGTTTTTAAAACGTAATAACCACCCCTTTTGTTAACTTTGCATCCAAACAAATCAACTTCTAAAAATCCTAAGTCCCTAGCAAACTTGTGAAACAACATAATATGCAGCTCATCAACATCAACTGTAGCTAATTGAGGACAAGGTAGTCCATTTGCATACCTTAGGTCAGGGTCCGATACAAAATTACCATTGTGGTGGATTTGTAGGTTAATTAGGCTTGAAGCCATTTTCTTCTCATACGTGCAAAGTAATAAAAAAAGCAGTGTTATCAATGACTATTTGTTATCAAAAGTTACACCTTTACACAACTCCATAAACAAACCAACAAAAAAGACAGATTTCTTAAGTAAAAAAGTTTTCAAGATTCCTTTTTCGTCCCCACAATACCCTATAATATTCAAAAATACTCTGGTGGATCACTAACAAGAAGGAGACCCAACAAACTTCACAAAAAAAATGCATAAACCTAAGATGAAATTCTGTTTTGACCAAAAAAAAAAACTTAACGGAATAACATGCATGACACTACATTAAAAAGGGTTTTCACTCCAACATATAACAAAATACAGCAAAAGCTCCATATATTGAGAAAAATTAAATATCAATTATGACTTAACCCAGCCTTCCCCTAAAAATCCTAAACAGAGCAAAAGCCCCATATATTGAGAGAAATGAAGATCAATAAAGACAAAATATGAAGAATAGGTGAAGAAACTTACCCCCACAAATTTCGATATCAACTGCGATGATGAAAACCCCGGCAACGATGACGGAGAAGAGGGGAGAGACTCACTGTTGTTCGATACTTTCTAAGTCCCAACTACGCGGGTAATTGTAAAATGAGGGGAAAATTTGAGTTTTTTTTTGGGGAGGNTACATGGTCTAATTTTATTGACGTGGCGTCCAACATGTAGGCGTTTGTATTACACGCACTGGCAGCCTCCTTTCATAAGCGTTTATTATTCACGGTTTGAATGAGTGTAAGTGTTCAATTGGCAAACTTTTAAGTTTGGGGACCGTCATGACAAAGTGGCACAAGTACAGGTGCCATTTAGGCCATTCTGCCTTTTTTTTAAAATTAAAAAAAAAGTTTTGATTTTAATCTTGTATATCAATGTATTTCTTGCATATATTTTTGTGTATATCCACAAAAACAATGTGTTATACATTGGAACGTACAAAGATGCTTAAAAAACGCACAAAGTTCTTTTTTTTTTTTTTGATATACGTTGAGATATATAAAGAAAACATTAAATTTCTAATATACATTTTGATATACAAAGAAAAAAAATTAATATACACAAAGAAGAAAAATAAACTTTTAATATACATTTTGGTATACACATTGTTTGATATGTTATACATTACGATATACAAATAATATAATTTTTTTATTGTGACATATATTGATACAGAGATAATAATAAATTTTAAACAACTATATTTATAATTTTATATTTTAGATAAAAAAGAATAAAAATAAAATTTTACTATACATTTTAATATTACAAAGAGGAAAATTAAAATTGTGATATATATTTAAATAAACACATTATTATTGCAATATATATTTGTTGGTTGCGTGATGCCAATATTTATGACTAGGGCCTTTTCTGCTAGTTAAGTGGGTACGTTGCCACACTATGACAAAATCCCAAATAAAAAGCTTACACTTCGAGTAGATTTCACTTTAACCTTTAAAAAGGCAGTGTGGTGCACAAAGCATCCCGTATTCTCGCAGGATCCAGGGAAGTGTCACATCCCAAATAGTGTGATGTAGACAGTCTACCTTAATGCAAGCATTAATTGTTCACAGCTCAAACTCATAAACTATAGGTCACACATGGAGATAACTTACGCATTTTTAAAATTTAGGCGTCGGTGAAGTCTGAGTCCAAAAATGAGTTGGGTCATTGGCATATATTTTCAAGTGTGAAAAATGACCTTTAATTAGGATGACTTATTATATGATTTTTTGTTTCAAAAGAAAAATTACCAAAAAGTACCCAATAATATTATAGAAATGGGTAAAATTTTATCTAAACCGCCATAATATCTAAATCGTACTCCCTCTGTTTCAATTTAGATGACACACTTTCTTTATTAGTCCGTTAAAAAAAAAGAATGACACAATTCTACAATTGGAAGTAATTCAACTTTAAATTCTTCATTTTACCCATTTTACTCATAATGAGAAGCTTTTATAATCACACAAATGTCATGGCCCCACAAAACTTTTACCCCTTAAGCTTTTAAGACCACAAGTTTCAAAAACCTTCTTTTCTTTTCTTAAACTCTGTGTCGATTCAAATTACCTCATCTAAATTGAAACGGAGGGAGTACTTTTTTGCCTGAAATAGAAAACCCCATTAAATCAACACTTTAGGTGGTTTTAAAAAAAGGTTCAATATCATATCACCAATAAACTATATTAACATTTAAAATTATAATAAATTAAATAGTTTTAAAATTAATTAAAACTAGAATATATAAGAATAACATGAAAATAAAATCAGTATTTTACATGACTAGTTGATTTCAATACGAGCAAACGCAAATAACAAAATGGATCAAGACATCTTTAATATTTGAAGCTCTACAAAAAAAATGCATGAAACTGCTTTTAATATTAAAAGAAAAAACTGAAGGAGAAAAAAGATATGTACGAAATTTTAATTTCTATACAATGCTATTGGTTGAATAAGAAATCAGTACATGTTATAATCCATACTAATTGAAGGTCATATTTTTTACATTTTAAAAGTACATATAACGAACCAACTGATGTTTTGCCTTTGATTTAAATTTAAGGAGATTATTTTCCATTCACAAGGTGAAAGGGCATTATTTCCAAAACCCAAAAGATTAAGGGGGTTAAGCAAAATTTACTTCGGCTCTCGAACGTACAGAGGGGTCATAATTGCTCACATTATTAACAGTCGCATATTTGTTTGATTTTGGCTGAGAGAATAAGCAGAAGAACAAGGCATTTACACTTGCTACACACGGCTACAGAATACTTTTAGCAGGAAGCGAGGTTCAAGAGGAGTTATGATGCTATTGCCAAGAAGTAGAGAGATATAAGCTGCAAGTTAAACAAGAGTACATACGAATTGCCCTGGGAGTTGATCATACAGAACAAGGTCTAGGTGAGAGGTTAGTCAGTTCCAAGGCCTGCCATCTTAGCTCAGCAGGGAAGTCAGCAACACAGCCAATTCTTGGTCCAGCACCTGTTGACCACGCCATGGAAAGTTGATGCCCCAGTTGATACGACTTTGTGGACTTCTCGGAATGGATCCTTCGCAGTATTGCAGTCTTTGGCACATCTGCTATTGGGATATGAAGACCACCCGAGAGCGATCGGTTATACCTACTTGTTTGAGCTACCAGATTTCCATCTGATACCAAGAGAAGGCTTTCTTCCCCTTCCTTTAGAAAATCAGCTTGAGAAGGAGAATTTGATAGAGCTGAAAATTCAGATGCAGAGCCACTCTCAATAGACATCCCATCATCATAGCTTTCATAGGCTTCATTTGCCTTTCCAATCTGATGATAGAATCAGAAAAGACATGGATTATATTAGTCTAAAAATGGAGAAGTTATCATAAAGAAAGGCAAGTAAAATAATATGCAAAGTAGACAGTAAGGCAAGCATTCATGTGATATATCATTTAGTACTAAAGAAGAGCAAGATCGAGTTGAATCCTATCCTTAAGATCAAGAATTTTTTCGTTTTTTTTTTCTTCCTGTTTTTGTAAGGAGAATAATCCCAGTTATTTGATGCCTGGCTTTGACGGGTTGGAGGGCTTGCATCGCTCCTAGATTATACTTTTCAATTTCTGACACTGTCTTGGTGCATTTCCTAATATTAATTTCATTATTACCTAAAATCTGATTGTTCAGGGCTCTGAAACATTAGGCACTAAAAGCAAAAGGAGTAAGTGACAATAGGCACAAAAAACTTCACTAACCTCGACTTCATCCAGGTTGACCCCATTTTCATTGAGAAATGATAAAAAGCTGTCAAGTCTATCTTCCGTTGGCCGATAATGTCCACTATATGCTGAAATAGACTGAAAGGAATAAAATGTCAAGAGTACAGCACAGCTTCAAGCAAATGACTGTAAACAGCAACTTCGATTCAGCTTTCAAGTGATGTAAAGAATTCAGGTGGCATATCCTCTTTCTTTCACACCTTTCATTTTGCAAATAAAGCTGGTGAATACATTTATGTAATGGGGAAGACAAAAAGGTAAAAACAATTTTCTTCTTCTAGAGTTTCATCTCTATAAGTCAGGGTGTATGATAAAAAGAATTTCCATAAATGTGGTTCTATAAGTGATGAAAAATATTGATTAATTAGGATGATTTTACAAACATCACACTTTAATAACTGGAGATTGTCACTGCCGTACATTTTCTCATTTGAGAAACTATGAGTTGAGCATTTGGCAGTAGCCCACTTAGATTGGTTTAAGTTACCTAGTCAGACAAAAAATGTGACTAAAAGGAATGGAAATTACCTAATCAGTTTGATCTAAAAGATATGCCCTTAACTACCGCCACAAATCATTGAGAAAGTACAACTGAGTTAACAGACACAATTGAGATAATTGAGATAACAGAAATCATACGATGACTCTTCCATCCTCTACCACTAGTCTTCCAGCAGCTGAAGTAGCCCCACCAGCAAGAAAGCTGGAATGATGAAACATTCCTTTCTTTTTCTGAAAAACATTACGGAAAACAACCATATTAGGAATAACAAGGATGATCATCAAAAAGCATTTATAGAGCACCTATTTTACCACTCACTTCACCAGCATAGAGTCTTTTTGACGTGCTCATCACAAAAATCCACTTTGCCCTTGGCAACCCTTTAGTAGTATCAAGAAGATTTCCAGTTTTTGCATGCACAATTCTCCCTTCAGCAACGATATATTCATAATGTTCTCTCTCTTGCTGATTGAAGAAATATTAGGAGGAAACAATCAAGAACTGCATGCTAATATCAGCCAGTGCGACTAAAGCATAATGCAGAAGTTAATAGCTTCACTTAGGGCACAAAAATGGGCTACTTGAACATGCAAAAGAACTATATTCATATCAGATAGTGTAAAGTAGTGCTAATCAGAATCTTAAAGACTAAAGAGTGATAGTGTCCACACAAGTATTTAAGCCAGTTGTCTGTTATAACTAATGATTGACATTAAGCTTCAGGATATGCAGAGTGTAAGTAACAAAAGATTCGATACATACAGGTCCTAGGTACTTGATACTTTGCTTCTGAAGCTTAGATCTTGAACATTCGTTGAGATCAACCTTTTTGCCATCTCCAAGATCCAACCTGCAGTTTTTAGAAACTTCTAAGTAACCATACCAGAACTCCATTAGGATTCGTACATCTTATAAATAGCATCACACAATAATACATGTTGTCTTATCCATATGTCAAAGAAACTGAACCAGAAGAAAAGAGAAGCCAATAATGCAGAATGTTCTTGGACTTCATATTAAGGTAAAATAAGAATATTTCACAAAGATAAGGTGAAAGAATGCCCCAATTTCCTTTAAACTTCAAAACTTTACGAGAAGCACGTGTATTTCCTCTTGGGGTTAGAAACATTAGATAATCTTGGAGCAGATTTGCACTTATTTGGACTTTATCAAGTCGCTATGAACGGAAATCAAAAGAAGAGTTCAGGTTCTGGCGTTTGTTGCAAATGCAAGAACTAAAAAATTTCGTGTTAGAATATAAAGTGAATATGTGTTTAGATTCATACACGTCTGGATTAATTGTGCTTGAATAAGGAAAATCATGGGTTGCAGTCTCGTTATATGGTCTTGGGCAATTCTCATCCCTTGAGCTAACTTTTGGGATTAAGTTAGGTCTAAGGTCCACTTTTTTAACATTCCGGAAAAACGTTTTCGACCAAACACAATTTCCAGAAAAGTTTTTTCAGTTTTTACAAATAAAAAAGTTGGAAAGCTAAACCAAAGATTTTAGTTTTTGCAAAAAAGTGAAAAGCTTTTCTCTAAGAGTGTTTGGTGGAAAAAACTAGGAAAAATCTTAAACAATGAAATTTGTTTTAAACATCTTCTGAGAACAAACAATGTCAAAATTCTTACCAAAAGAAGAAGGGCTGACCAGAATCAGTTTTACACCATTCTTCATAATAAATATGCAAGTTATGCCCATAACGATGGCGTGGGTCAATCTATAGTGCAACAATACCAAGGTCAAAAAAACAAAAATTACAAAAAACAACAAAATAAATGGTGAATATTCAAAGAGCTGGGAAATGGAAGCCAGAGGGGAAAGCAAAGCACAGTGACTCACTGCTTCAATCCAGTGTTGAAATGCCAATTTTTGAGCTTTGGCATCTTTGGATAGACCTTTACCCACCTGAAAAAATACCTAAATACAATTAAAGTTTTCCTTATCTTTTTCTTTTCTTCTAAATAGTTTGTGATAACCAGAAACTGCCTGAAGTTAGGTATATGAAAATGTAGCAATATATACCTTGGAAGCATTTAAGCATATGCGATTCCACCGGGAAGAGGCCGTTTCTGGTTTCAAGAAATTGAAGAAAGAAATTGTACTGTGATTCAATCGAGCATAATCTATGGCTTGCCACCTTCAAGTAAATGTACTATGATTACTCCTTTTTAGAGTGCTATTGAAATAATTACTACCTCCCTTTCAGGCTAGACAGAGCATAATAATAGACGACGGCAACAATTACAACGCCTCATCACATCACAGAATAACCAGAGTAAACAACACAAGCATACATAATTAGTCCTTTTTTGAGTGCTATGAAAATAATTACTATCCTCCCTTTCAGTGTAAGACAGAGCATAATAATAGACGACCACATCACGACAACAATTAATATGTCTCATAAGGTTCATCACAGAATAACACAGTAAACTGCACAAATACACATGATTAATACTTTTAGAGTGCTATCGAAATAATTATCATCCTTCCTTTTTCGTATTTTAGCTTGTGTTCGCCTCAACTATTCCATGGAGATGGAGTACTCACTACCAGCTCCCACCAAAACAAATGAAAAGAACAACAACAATGTTTTTGCCCCAACAGATGAAAAGAATCAACTACTATTTTTGCCTTTTGCTGGTATACAACAACAAACAACAACAACAACCCAGTATAATCTCACTAGTGGGGTCTGAGGAGGGTAGTGTATACGCAGACCTTCCCCTAATCTAGGATAGAGAGGCGATTTCCGATAGACATTCGGCTTCCTCCCTCTAAGAACAACAACAATGAATCAACTAATGTTTTTGCCTTTTGCTGGGATACAACAACAAACAACAACAACAACAATCCAGTATAATCCCACTAGTGAGGTTTGGGGAGGTAGTTTGTATGCAGACTTACCCTAATCTAGGATAGAGAGGCTGTTTCTGATAGACACTCGGCTCCCTCCCTCCAAGAACTCCCCGCCTTGCTCTTGGGTGATTCGAACTCACAACCTGCTCACCTAGAGCAAACCACACTTTTGGTGGGATATGAACCTAAAACTTTACAGTTCTCTTTCCTTCACTGATTACTAGGCCACGCACTTGGGCGCAATCCCAAGCAAGTTGAAATCAAAATCTAAACTTTAAAGTAAAAAAGCTCATGAAGAATTTTTTAAAAGTTTGTGTAATAGTTAGTGAGCAGTACCAGAGCACTTCAGCTACCACAGCAGAGTCCGCTAACATGCGCCGCGTACGATAACTCCTATAAACTTTCTGCACTTTCATGGCAGCATTAGAAACAGACCGATCGCAATAATATTTCCCGCCATTGGAAGAAGCGGACATGTCGGAGCTCCAAATATCCGAAGCACGGAGCTCCGATTGTTCTGTATTGGAGTAGTATGGAGGAGAGTTGAAATCGAAATTTGACAGAGCGTGAGTTTTCACAACAAAGCCTGAAGATTGAGAATGAACAGGTGAACAAGTGTAGCTATAAGAAGATTGCTAGAGAGAAAGTGAGAAGTATTATTCAGTATTCAGAGAGTTCCATTAATGCACATACTATACGTGGTTATCGATGTGGTTTTGCTGATCAGTCCACCTGTCAGTGCTGTCACACCTTTCGGGGGGAAACAATATTTAGTCAACTCCACGCAACTGTTGCCTGTTGGTAGGCTAAGTAAAATTGAGGATGAAAGTGTTTTTTTTTTCGGGTTAATAGCTCGTTCATGGGTTGCTCGACTACAAGGCCACTAAAACAATTGCCTCGGCCTCATTTTTTTTTCTTAAAGTTGTATTATATATATATATTATTAAAAAAATATGCGTGCATTTAAATTTTAAAAAGAATTTTTGAAGCAAAAGTACAACAACATTAATGTGAGGATCGTCGTAATAATCAGAGAATGAAATAATTTTTAATAAATTATTCCCTTACAGACGGTGTTAGTTTTTTTTTTACTCATGTTTATCCTAACAACTAATATGAGCCGACATTATTATTTTTTATATTTATCTTTTCCATTTTCTCTCTTTTACTATTCTTATTCTCAATATTGAAAAGTCTCTCAATCGACAACGGGTTGTCTTCTTCAAAATATCAAACATTATAACAAGCAATCATCGTATTGAAGCAATGCAACACTTTTCGATATCATTATATCAACTTATCTTGCTCTATAGTTTCTTACCCTTTGATTTCTGCTATTATCTATTATTTCTTGCACTTTGTGGGTTTTCACTGCGTATGTTGTTATAGTATATCAACTTATCAATTGAGCTTGTTTTATAATTCTATCTTTCTTTTATACTTTTTTATATTGAAATTTTTTCTTTTATATTCTTACTTGGGGCCTCTCTCTGAAATTTGACTTTAGGCCTCGAATCTTGTTGAGACGGCCCTGAGCTCGTTTGGTTGGTGGTACAAGGAATAACAATCTCGGGATAAGACGTGGATTTTGATTATGGATATTAATTAGTTCTGTATACTATTTTGTACTAAAATTGTGGGACAGCTAATCCTATATGATATCCCAACCAAACAATTATTTAAACCCTAGCTTTAGTCCTTGTAATATATGATTAATCGCATTTGACCTTTGAAAAGTGCATCTTTGATCCATTTTCTCGTGAATATTCAATAATTTGCCATAATTATTAAATGTTTCACCGCTTACTTACTCGTGTGTTATGTTAAGTTTGTAATATTACTTCATATTTGACGGTAATATAATTTTAAAAATAGTTCAAATATAGCACATTTTCTCTATATATGAACCAAAAATATACTACAATTTAATTAATTGAATACTAAATTTGTTGAGTCATATATCAAAAGAACAAAAATCAAATTGACCAATAACTAATGAACCAAGAGCACTATCATTCCTTTTGTATGGTTTTAACATAGTTTTTTATTTGGTATTTAAAATTCATTAGTCTGGTAAATTTATTTGTAAGATATAACGATTACAAGCGAAAATGTTCTTACCTAGAGTACTTTTTCGCTCATAACTCAACCTAAATAAGGATTAAAAAAAATTCTATTTATTCTGATACACTCCTTGACGGCAGTTATAACATAGGCCAAGAAGGACAAGAAAACTTAAATAAACAGTTGAAACAATGAGAGGTCATTGAATTCAAAGTTTATGAGATCGAAAAGTGACTGCTGAACTATCCAGCAGGATCTAATAATTGGTCTCATTTTTCTTCTCCCACCCATACTTAGTTATTAGGTCCCGAAATCTATTTAGTAGATCATGAATGTGCTTTTAATATGCTATTACTCTCTGCGTCTCATATTATCTCATGATTCTTTTGTACACGCCCCTTAATTAAAAAAAATTAATTATGATGAAATTTTGACTATTTTACTCTTATTCATGTCTTAAGTAATATTTAATCTTTCTTCATTGATATTTGAACAAAGTTATCCATAATTAGGATGTTTGTAGTCTTCAAGGATAATTATTACTAAAGGTAAAAATGGAAAAAGATAATTAATTTTGTCTTAAACTTCTAAAATGACAAATAATTTGAGACAATTATTTTTAATAACCACGACTAATAATATGAGACAGAGGGAGTACTAAACTACTAATAATAGTAGGATTTAGATGACGAGGATAGGTAGTTGCATGTGACAGGTGGTTAGCTAGCTAGGTTTAGCGGGGCACGTTACTATATTATAGAGAAAAACAAACACTACTAAAAAAAACTTGAGATTAACTACAAATTTTGTCACTAATTTGCCACTAAATCACTCGTAGCTAATTTTTAAAAAAATATATATCTCTAATCCGTCTCTCAATAAAATTAGCGACAAATTTTACTTTTTAGCTACAAATTTTGTTTGCCGCTAATTCATATTCTTTTAATAGTGGAAAATATTGAATAAGGTGTGAAGCGACTCAGTTTTTCTATTGTGGAGTTATTATTTACATGGTCGATTTACGTAAATATTCCTTTTTAGGTTACTGTTAAGATTTTGTTTCTATTTTAAGAAATCGTGCAAATATAGCTATTTAAAAGTTACTCCTTTCAGACAACTTTTGACTCAGGTGTAATGTTTCATAAACTTAAGTTTGCTTAGAAAATATTAAACTATGGTCTAATATTTGCAATAACTTATAAGTAAGATTTTAGATCATAGTCAAACGTTTTTTAATAACATTTTCAGTTTGCTCAAAAAAGATCTTCGAATCGTGGTCTAAAAATTATGTTAGTTGCAAGAGAAATAAAAAAAGATTCATTTACTAAACTTCTATATATATATATATATATATATATATA